TGGTGGTACAGGCGGCATTGGTGGTTGTGCTACTGTTGGTGGTGCGGTGGTTGTGGGTGGATAGTGGTGGTCGTGGTGATGTCGGTATTTTTAGATAATGGCTTGTTGCCGAGAGGTGGAGGTGGTTCCAGCGACGGGGTTCGATTGTCATGTTGTTGGTGGCAGTAGTGAAGTGATTGTCACGAATTTTGGTGGTGGTCACACATTATTTAATCATTTGTGACCATTAAATTCATTAATTTATAACCGATAAACAATATGTGACCAATGAAAAAAAATTGTGAAAAAAATAATTTGTGATCTAAAAAATTGTTAATTTGTGACTGTCTACTAAGTTGTGACTTATAATGTTTGTGATTTGTAACTGATGAATAAGTTATGACGTTTCAATGTTTTTATTTGTGATCGATGAATAAATTGTGATTTATAAAATTTCTGAATTGTGACAGTAAAATAATTTGTGACTTATAAAATTTCTGATTTGTGACTGTAAAATAATTTGTGATCTGTAAAATTTCTGATTTGTGATCGATTAACAAATTGTGACATATAAAATTGTCACCGTAAAATAAATTGTGACATTTCAATTTTTGTTTTTTGACCGATGAACAAATTGTGACTTATGAAAATTTTGAATTGTGGCCGTAAAATAATTTGTGACATCTAAAATTTGTGATCTGTAACCAATAAATAATATGTGACTTATTAATTTGATAGATTTGTGACCGTCGTATAAATTTTTGATTTGTGATCGATTAACAAATTGTGACTTATAAATTTTTTGAATTGTGACCGTAAAATAATTTGTGACATATAAAAATTATAATTTGTGACCAAATTATATGGAATTGTAACATTAATATATTTAATTTATTTATTTATAAATAAAATTTAAAAAACTCTAAAATTTGAAATTTTTTTGTATTATAGAATTTAAACTTTAACCATTTTGATTTAGAGAATCAATAATTTAAAAGGGAAAGTTTTTAAGTAAAAACTGAAAAATTTTCAGCGCAGTCACCAGGGCTACTGTACTTAATTTTTGTTTAGAAACTAATTTTTTAAAAAAATCCATATTTTGAAAATACTTTTTAGATTGAGATATATTGAACCAACTTGTTGGATCAGGTTCCAATTATTTCACAAGAGCCAAGCCAAACAAGCTCATAATCTCCTTCAAATTCATTTTAGCGTTGAAGTGACAAAAATAATTGTCCCAATCATTTTCTAATCAGGCCGCTTAAAGGAAAATGGGGGTATGCAGAATTTTTCTTGAAATTGCCTCCTATACGGCGCTAACTTTAGGGTGCGTTTGATTTGCTGTTTCAATTTTCAATTTTGCAAAACGCTAAAAATGTGTTTGATCTAATACTTTTAAAATGCATTTTTAAAAATAAGAATAAACTTATAATATAAAACTCAAAACACATTTTTGACATTTTGAAAACACTCAAAACATAGAAAAATAAGCCTTTAAATAAAATTTTGTTAACAAATTTTTTTATAAATATATAATTATAATAATTAAAAATTTTAAAAAATTTTAAAAAATAAAAATCATGAAAAAAAATATAAAAATAGCTCAAACTCTTAATGGTTATTTACATGAAAATTCTAAAAAATATATTTAAGTGAACAAAGATAAAAGTATTTTTAGTTAACTTCATTAATTTTTATTTTTATTTCTTATATTTCAAACTCAATTTTTTATTATTTTACTTTTGTAGCGAGAAATCATAAAATAATTTTTCAAAATTTCAAACCAAATGTGTTTTATACTTTTCTATTTTGGAAAATAAATTTTCAACTTATTTTTAGAATATTAAAACAGGTTCTCAAAACAGAGAATTAAAAGTAAATTGAAAACTAAAATACGAACCAAACAACCCTTTATCTTCCGCCTTCGCTTTTGACTAAACCCTAAGAATAGAATACTGAGAATGGATAATTCTGCTTTACCAGAACTATTCACTTACAGAATAGTTATAGAATAATTAATTTCCCAAAATACCCCCTTATACAAAAATTACAACCAGAACCACTACAAGAATATAAAAACTTCAAATTAGACCCTAAAAAATTATGAGTGCAAAATTTATTCCACTGACTCTGCGCACTCTGATATAATTGGTATCTGAGCGTATATCAAAATACATATATCCGGAAGGAACTCTATAGGGAAAAGCAGTAATTACTGACTCTCCGCCCCCGACTTGGCCCTCTACAGGATATGGTCAAGGACTCCGATAGTTATCGTTATACTACTGTCAAGTCAAGGCTGCTTCCGTAAACCCGGACGGTAGTGAGTGCGATCTGCGCACTCTGATATAATTGGTATTAGAGCCATGTTAAATCATGGAAATTGAAATTATTAAAAATAATTGGTACTATATATTAAGAGAAAAAGATGGTTTAAGCTATATATTTTCTGATCTTGTTCCTAGAAAATTAAAAATATTAACATTAATTATAGTTAAAAAATTACCAATAAAGATAAGAAAACAAATATTAGAAAAATTAATACTATGATGCATAAGAGATGAATATTTATATCAAAGAATGATGATAGAATTTGAAAAAGAATAAATCGAATTTTATTGTAAAGAAATGTATAAGCCTGAAATATATTATGAATCTAAAGTCATGATGAATATAGTTGATGAAGAAAACATAACTGAAATTTTTTTGAGAAATGTTGAAAAACATAAGAAACCTAATTATCCTTACTTATCTAAAAATAGTACAAATGAAAGTTTTAAGAATATATATAAAAGATTGGAAAATTTAGAATATAATATACAAATAGGAAATGCCCTATTAGATAAAAAACTTGAAGGAAAAGATAAGATTATAATCAATCCACCTCAAGATTTTAGAATAATTGAAAAAGATAAAAGAAAAAAACCATGAAATAAAACAATATATGATAACGGAGGTAGAAGAATTAGAACAAAAATTCTTAAAATCTACTGGTGAAGAATATAAAAAACAGGTAGAAGAATTAACTGAAAAATTGGAAAATACAAAAATGAATACTAATCTATCATCTAGTAGTAATATAAAAACAGAATTTAGTAGTGATGAAGAATGTGGAAATTATCCTTATGGTACACCAATACCAAACAAAGATGGTATTAACCAATATAGGAAAATACAGAAAAGATACACTGAAAATGTAAGAAAACAATCCATCAAAGAAATAAGCCCAATGAAATTTTATAATGAACCAATCCATACAACAGGAATATGATTAGATTTAGACCGTGTAAATAAAAATAAAGCTATAGAACCATGGATAAAAAGTACAGACCTAGCTATACAATTTAACAAATGGGAAACATATACAGGTTTTGGATTTATAGAACATATTTTTAGAGGAATTGTATCAGATTGGTGGAGAAAACTACCAGAAAATATAAAAAAGAATATAAAATATGGAGAAAACACAATTGAAACAATAGATAACACGAATGCCTTGAATGAGCAGAACATACAAGAAATACTCAGAAGAATGGAAAGGACCCTGAGAACGGAATTCTTAGAAAATAGATTTACAATAAATAAAGAAACTAGAAAACAAGAAAAATATAATGAAAAAAATGATAGTTATGGAAAATTTAAAGATATGTTAATCAAGAAGGATATAAGAAAAATCTTCTTATCCTTATAGATATTGGAGCAGAAAAAAGTCATGTAAATGCTAAATTTGTTAGTCAATTTTGAGTTATCAGAACCATATACTTTCAAAGATTAGAAATATGTAAATTTCTCTCTTATATTTATAGGAGAAGATTAGAAAGAACAAATTAAAGAAATAATTATTTATAAAGATGAATCATATGGAATTAAACGATCACCTATACTATTAGGAATGACCTTTCTTGAAAAATTTAGTCCTTATAAAATCTGCCAAGGATATTTAAAAATAACGGTTGATGATAATCCAATAATCATATCAAGAATAGATGAAAATATGAAAAAATTGTTATCATGGAAAGAGTAATTAATACTAATCCCATGAGTCTATATTTTGAAATTATACTCAATATAAAAAATTATTGCAGAATTAAATTTCATACTTATCTAGATACAGGAAGTACAATAAGTTTGTGTTTGCCAAATGTACTACCAAACGAATACTGGAAGTATGATTCAAAAAAGATTGTTACTGCCACAACAGTAGGTGGAAACAAAGTAATATATAGTAAATATGCTACACAAGTACCTTTTCTAATAACTTTTAGAGAAGTATTTGTTGATACTATATACATGTCATCTACAATTGGATGTAATATTTTATTAGGACAAAATTTCCTACTAAAATATGCACTATTTACTCAATATATAGATAGATATATGTTCACAACTCCTTGTGCACATAAGGTATTTACACCTAAAGTCACTAAAGCAGTTAGCATAGCACATAAGCAACTTAATCATCAGAGTTCCTCAACCCAGCGTGGTGGATATTGGAATATAGAAAAACCTAAACCAATTACAGTTTTAAAAATGACAACAGAAAATAAGCTAAAAGAATTGAAAAAAGAGATATTTGAAACTTATTCTGAAAATCCATTAGAAAAATGGAATACAGACAAAGTAAAAGCAAAAATAGAACTAATCAATCTAGACATTATAGTAAGAATCAAACCAATGAGATATAGTGTGGAAGATCAAAATGAATTCAAAAATCAGATAAAAGAATTACTAGAGGCTAAATTAATTAGGCTCAGTAAAAGTCCACATAGTAGTCCAGCCTTCATGGTAAGAAAACACAGTGAAATTAAAAGAGGAAAACCTAGAATGATAATAAACTATAAGAAGTTAAATGAAGTGACTAAATTTGATGGATATTACTTGCCTAATAAGAATACCCTTATTAAACAAGTACAAAATAAGAAAATATTTTCAAAATTTGATGTAAGTCAAGATTTTGGCAAATCATGCTTACAGAAGAAAGTAAACCATTAACTGCATTTAGTACTCCTAGTCCTTTGGAACAATATGAATGGAATGTAATGTCATTTGGGTTGAAAAATACACTACGGATATTTCAAAGAAGAATGGATGAGGTAATCAAAGTTTTCTTGGAATATTAAATTATGTTGAAAGATTTATAGAAAATTGTGCAAAATTAAAGAATTATTTCCTTCCAAGATTAAGAAAAAATGTAATGTGGTCTTGGGAAAAATAAGATTGTGAAAACATAAAGAAAGTAAAAGAGGAATTAAGAGTTTTGCCTAAACTTGTAATTCCACATGAAGAAGACTTTTTTATCCTTGAAACTGACACATCAGATAATTATTGGGGTGCAGCATTAAAGGTTAAAAAGAATTATAAAGAATATAAATGTAAAAAGAATTGTTCTTGTCCTGAAATACTTGCAGGGCACACATCAGGAACATTCAAACAAGTTGAAACACGATATGAGATGAACATAAAAGAACTCGTTGCTGTAAAGCGAGGAGTACAGAAATATGAAGATTATCTATTGCCAAAAAAGTTCTTAATAATGATTGATAATACTTAAGTTAAAGCATTTCTAAAAAATAATGTTGACCCATCTATTGCTAATAGATATATAATTAGAATTCAAATTTGGTTTTCTTATTTCAAATTTGATATTGAGCATATAAAAGGAAAAGCTAACTTTCTTCCTGATTATCTTAGCAGGGATGGAGTTAGAACATTTAAGGACGAAAGTCCAAATACTTAAGATAAAAATTTCCTATTTGGAAACTCAAATTCAAAATATAAAAGATAGTCTTCGAGACCTAATAAATATAGCCCTTGCGGAAGAAGATACTTGTACCAAGTCTAGTATCCCTTCACGGGGACTTGTATTCACTAGCGCTCTACTCGAGGATAAAGAGAAAGAAAAGAAGGTAATAGGAACCCTTTTATAGGGAAAATTGAACCTATTACTCGTAGAAAAGATATTCAAGATATCAAAAACAACAAAGATAGCTCTTCACAAAGTCATATTTTACCTGAGTTAAATATTGAAAAAATTGATCCAAAAGAAATTGTCAAGATATGCCATATGGTAAAAATATCCAAAAAAGATAACTATGAAGAAATTATTTTCTTTATTGTTGTTTTCAATATTTTATCTGATTGGTACTTAGAAGTTGGAAAGTGGATGAAGACTCTCCACTATGGAAGATACAACAAGATAAACTTTTATCCAAAAGCACCAGCCAACTGGGTAAGAAATTGTTTTGAACTAGGAAATATACTTTGTATATATCCTAGTAAAGACCTCAAGGAGATAGCCTAACTTCCAGCTGATGTCACGAAGGCAGTGAAAAGATATACTGAAGTTGTCAAAACTACAAACATATATATCAGATTCCACTCAACAACAGTGGAATGAGATCCAGATCTTCAATATATCCAGCCAGCTTTTTATGTTATCAAGTTAGGACTCACAAATCAACATTTTTTACCAACCAATCAAAATGTTGTTAAAAATGGTTATCAAGATATTATTAATATGATGCCATACAGAAGAGTTAAGGGATATAAAGAAATATTTGAACATATAACTCAGATAATTACTGAGAAAGAGAAAATATGGGTTTATCTATCTGAAAAACATATAATCTATTCTAATGTCAGAAAAGAGACAAAAGAAGAAGATATATGTTATCTCGACCATTTATTATCCAAGATAATTTCCAATCAAGTCTATGGATGAGAAAAAATGGAGAAATAACTATGCAAATTACTTTGGGATTATAGTGATCATCATTGTAAACACTGCGTAGTAGAAGATATGAGTCAAGCATCACTCAACAGTGAAGAATTTCCTGTTGAGTTATTTGAATCAAGGATGGAAAAATAACGGAGTAAGGACAATGACCCTTTATCACTACTTTAATAAAATCTCTTTATTAAAGAAAAACTGTGGTAACTAAAAGACAGAAGATAGTACAAGAAAGTAGTTGAGATTATAACTCTCTACCAACTACTGAAGAGAATAATACAAAGTAGCTGTTGAAGATAAGAAAAATTTGGTACGATAATGACTACCAGCTCAAAAGAAGGACAGCTTTTGCTACCAAACACAAGAAGATGACAGACAAGAAATAATGGAGGACAGTTGTAAAGATAAGATTCCCAATCAAACCTCTATATAAGAGGGAAGAGTCCAAAAAGAGAGGAGATCCGGAAAAACCTCCAATTCTCTATCTTAGAAAAAAATACTATATCTATTTACACCACTTGTATTCAGAAAAGATATTATCAAGTCTTGAAGATAGGAAAGTTTGTAATAATGTAATCACTTATGGAGTTTTAAACTTCATAAGGTGAGTACCAAAGGTATGTAAATATAGTAAGCCAGCATGTATTATTTCAGTTCTATGAATATAAAGATGAAGTTTGTTATGATTTAACAAAGTTTCTTTGAAAGGATTTCGTTAAATTTCTCATAATTCATCGGCAGTACAAATAGAGATTTTAAAAGATTTTCAAAACATTGTTTTTGAATGGATGTTAGCCATGCCAAAGTATCCGTCTTTGATAAATGTTTTAGGGAAAATGGCAGTTTTTTAACAAAATTGTAGCACCTTGTGTGTGAGTTATCTTTCAAAATCTTGTTCTAAGTAAGAACTTGTTCTGAAAATAGTTTAAATAGAGGTGAAAACAGAGACTTTGAATACTGTAAGATAGCGTCTGTGGCAACACGGCTAGTTCTCTAGAGTGAGAAATGCAACCTTAATAAAAAAGTCTTTTACAGAAGTAGTTGTGGACCCAAATGATTTCAAAAACATCTTAAATGTTCATCTGATTCAGAAGAGTGATTAAATACATGCAAAGCTACTATAAAAACATGCTGGAGGGAAAGCATGTTTATTCATATTGATTACTGTAAGTTATTTACATGCTTTTATATTTTGATCTTCATGAACACTTCACAAGCATCTACTTCCAATGATTATTGTTTTAAATTATATTTAGATGAAAAAGATATTTCATTTTTATTAAGTATTGTTGAAAAATATGAAGATATACTTCATGTTGGCCAAAAAAAACTTAAAGAAATATATTTTGATATAGATTATGCTTGTAGACGCAATATAAGATTTGACTCTGTAGAAACTAGTAAAGAAATAAAAAGAGTTGAAGACGTCATAATTAAATACGAAAATATAAAAGAAGAAGCTTCAGAAGGGATTGTTTTTGGATATATAACTAGAAAAGACCAACCTAAAGCTTATGAAAAACTAATTGAATATAGAGAATATTTGGAACAAATAGAAAAATTAAAAGAACATTGTATAACATAATAACTCACAATTGTCCAACAACTAAAAGATACAGGACTTAACTTGCAAAATATTCCATTAAAGGTAAATTAACATAAGATAATTTTATATTATTAAAAGCGTCTGTGAGTATCTTGCCAATATCTTTTTTTGTTTTTGCAGTACAGCATAACCCTACTGAAAATTCAATTGCGTGCGTTGATGTTGCAATTCACAAACCAATAATCTTAACCCATCATTGGCAATATGTAAAACAACGGATCAGGCAATCAGTCCGATACTCGCAGGATCAGAACGTGATGGGCTATGTAATTTCAAGATTGTGTGCTCCTAGTGACTTGTCGTGTTTAACTATTCTTTCTTGATTTTTGGTATACAAGAAGATTCTCCTCAATTTGGACTTTTAGGGTTCATTTGGGTGTCCCACATTCCTGTAGGTTTTCACAGAATTCTTATATCTTTGTTGCAATGTCTCTTTTTAGTTTCTTGATTGGGGTTTTTTTTGCTTCCTTCTCATTCTTTCTTGGCAACTACGGTAGACTAAACAAATTGAATTTGTCTTCTATTCTGCTTCGTGTCAACTCGCTGATTATTGGATTCCCCCTTTTCAACCCATCTTTTTGTTCAGCATACTGTAGCAGTAAACGTAATAGTATATATAGGGTCAAAAATTATAGCTGCATTGGCACCCAATTCCTACTTCAGAATCATTCCTATCTTTTCATTCACTCCAAATCAAATACAGAGAGTCAGAATTTGCTCAAGCATCAAGGGGATGGGAACTGGAAGTTATAATGACTCCTTCAATACAATTCCACTCCTCACTCCCTACAAAATGGGAGATTTCGATCTCTCTCACAGGTTCGATTCCGATTTATTTTTAGTTCATGAATTGAGTTTCATTCTCATTGCTTTAATTTAGAATAGCACATTTTTTGTTTCTAACATGTTCTGTTGATGTTTGCACAGAGTAGTTTTAGCACCATTAACTAGAAACAGATCTTACAATAATATTCCACAGCCACACGCAGCAGTATATTATTCACAGCGAACAACCAAAGGTGGTCTCCTTATTTCTGAAGCAACTGGAGTATCAGATACTGCACAAGGGTAAGCTGTTTCTTGACAAGTGCAATATAAAGAATTATATCCTCACATGATGACATAGCTAGTATATACGATGGAACTTGAACTCCAGACCTAATACTGAATTCATAGCTATCCCTCACACATTTTCAAATTTGTTGGTCACAAATTATCGAATTTTAAGGTTACATTTTAATAGTTAGTGACAGTAAACCAAATAGTTGGTCATATGCACCAAACACCCCACCCTTGATCTCGATCCACCACGAATACTTGGTCACGGGTCAACCAAACTCCCCACAACAAAACCACTGCCAATAAAAATATCACAACCATCACTTCCATCACCACCACCAGTACCACCGCTACCGTCGCCACCATTTTTGCAATACCACCATCGCCACACCGCTCCGCACTAGCAACACCACCACACATACCACCAGTCACCACCATCGCCAAAACAACACACCACACCACCACAGACATCACCACCAACGAACCGTCACCGCCGGATCCAACAAAAAAAATCCCAAACCCGCCACCACCTCCATCCCCATACCCATCGCTGCCACCAAATCCACCGCCGTCCCTGTCGTCGCCGCCACAACACAGACATCACCACACCACAACCACCATCCACCACAAACCCGCCACCACCTCCACCCCTGTCGTCGCCAACACCAACACATCACAACACCGCCGCCGCCAACAGATCGCACCAACGGAGATGGTATATATAGATTCACTCGTCTTTATGTATGTGTTCATACGATTGTGTGCGTGTTGCTCTTTGAGGTAGAGCTGTTTAGCCTGTTGATAAATTATTTATAAATCTTTGGTTTGACTCTTTCTTTCCCGATTTTTGAGTGATCTAATCACATAGCTATCCAAATTGCATCTTCATTTTAATCAATCGTTAATAGTGGATTCCGAGATGCACCTGGAGTTTGGACAAAGGAGCAAGTGGAAGCATGGAAGCCAATTGTAGATGCAGTTCATCAGAAGGGTGGAATATTCTTTTTGCAAATTTGGCATGTCGGCCGTGTCTCTAATTATGGTAAGTTAATTTTTTATGTCATATTTATCAATCATTACTAAAATGTATTGAGGGTGCCTCGAAGACGACAATGCTACCAGTAGGATCATATCTATCTGTAAAAACGTGTAGGTTAACTCTGGTTATTTGGTCCGTGAAGGATATATAATGTACTTATGATTTGTTTAACAGGTTTTCAGCCAAATAACCAAGCTCCAATATCATCAACAGACAAGGGAATTACCCCTGGCCATGAAGGAGGAGAGTGGTCTCCCCCTAGACGACTGAAGACAGATGAAATCCCTGGTGTAGTCAACGATTTTAGGTTGGCTGCTCGCAATGCTATTGAAGCAGGTTAGTACCCTGATTTGTTTTGTCTTGTGAATGTGAAGTAATACTAAGAAAACAAGACAGTATTTAGCTATATGTTTTTTTTCTTTCTCACTAAGAATCAAAAGAGAATGTTTCTAAGGACAAGTTGATGTAGAATCAATGGGAGGGAAAGAAGAAGAAGAAGAAGAGAAGGCAGGGGAAGAACCGTGAAAAAGAACATGGGGAAAGAAAACGTGGCAGCCGCCAATCGTATTTTTATTCAATCTTCAACTAATTCAACAACAATGAATATATCCAATAAATAGTAAAAAAACCTAACTTGAAGGGCTTAGGCTAACCCGCTACTACAATCCCAATAATAATAAAAACGTAATTAATAAAAATCAATAATAACATAAATCGTGATGTCAGCATCACAAGTCAGCATAAATTACATCTGCAACTGTAATCTTATAAGTAAATGCAAAGACCTTTTAACCCAAGTACTGCAAAGCTGAAGCCTATACTAATATTTTCGTATACAGTTGTTGTAACTATTAGAGTGTTGACTGAATGTGCTATAACGGAAAAAAAAACTTTTCCTTTATGCAGCTGGAATTTTTCAAGAATGGCCTAATTATATTTGCAAGTAACCAAAAGGAGTCTTTTAAAAAAATGTATTTGGCTTTCTGTATTGCAGGATTTGATGGTGTTGAGATTCATGGTGCAAATGGTTACTTAATCGAGCAGTTTATGAAAGATAAAGTAAATGATAGAACAGATGAATACGGTGGGAGCTTGGAAAATCGGTGTCGGTTTGCACTTGAAGTAGTAGAGGCAGTGGTCAATGAGATTGGAGCTAACAGAGTCGGGTTAAGACTGTCTCCATATTCTGAATTCATGGAGTCGGGCCACTCAAATCCTAATGCTTTAGGACTTTACATGGCTAATGCACTTAATAAGTTCAACATTCTCTATCTCCACGTGGTTGAACCGAGGGTGATGGGTGCAAGGGTGATTCCAGGGACCGAGGATGAAAGCCCCCATAGACTCCTTCCAATGAGGAATGCTTTCAAGAATACTTTTATTGCTGCTGGTGGCTATAACAGAACTAATGGCAACAAAGCTATTGCAGAAAATTATGCAGATTTGATTGCATTTGGACGCCTCTTCTTGGCTAATCCTGATTTGCCAAGGCGATTTGAGCTGGATGCCCCTCTTAATAAGTACAACAGGAGCACTTTCTACATTTCTGATCCCATTATTGGTTACACAGATTATCCATTCCTTGAAGAAGCTTAGGGCATTGGTTAATCGATACGATCCTTTTCCATCTAGCAATTTATTGTTTGCTCGGGATATTTGAACAGTTTCGTCTTATTTATTTTTCTTGCGTTACTGTTTCTGTTAAATAAGAGCAATTACGGAAGGGGAAAAATTCACTATTAGCATGTTCTTAAAGGGGGTACTCTTTGCCCAACAGTTGATAAGCAGTCCGTGTTAGAACTCTGAACTGTCAACTTTTGTGACCTACTGTATTATGTGTGGTATTGCATTCCATATTGTTTACTAAGGGCATGTTTTATGTATATTTTTTAGAGAATAGATTTTGTGAAGTGGGATATATTTTTAAGAATGGGTGGTTAAAAAGTATGGAAAAGTAATAGGTAAACGTGCGAAACTATTTTGTTGCGAATGTGTTATGGAAAATGAGTTTCGAGGAAAATGAGTTTTAAGAATATGTACTAAACATGTTCTAAGTATTAATCATTTCAAATATGTCATGCGATTATAAAACTATCGTTCTTTCTTTTTTGCAATTTCTTTTTTATTATTTTTTTTTGTTGTTGTTGATGTTGTTACTATTGTTTGTAGGAATATTTGCACTTAGGCTCCCGAAAATTCACTCCAATAGCGCTTGAGTCCCCATTCTTAATTTTTTCTTTAGCAATCACCCTGAACTTATATATTATCAGGTCATATTTGTTTTAGACGGTTTCGTCCAAAAATGTTAAAATGTCTTGTGACCATTTCTTCGAAAAGTAGAAAAAGAGAGAGATGACAAGTTGTCATTGTCTCCATTCACTCCTATTGCGAGAAGTCATTCTCATGAATCAGATAATTCATCTATCACGGCACATGAACCAGTTCCCTTCATTCCCAATCTACTGCACCAGTCTCCTATTCCCCCACCATTGATTCATCTCATTCTTCTTCCAATTCAACTGCTCCACTGGTTGTAGACTTTCCTGCTTCCCTACATTGCCTCATATCCCTCCTACCAACACTCATCCTATGATTACAAGAGCAAAAGAGGGCATTCACAAACCTGAAATGTTTCTTACTACTGCAGCTCATTCCCTTATGGCATTAAGACTTGGGGTTTCATCTTCAAATGTCAACTTTATTAAGAGAAGTAACACAATCATTTATAAGTTGATATCTATTTTCATTTTTATTCAATGTGAAATTTTTATCCTTTAACATGCCCCGAAAGATGGTGACTCGTTTGAACAAACAAATATTGAAATCGGTGTGCTCATTTTTTAAATCTTAATCGAATCGAATTGAATCGCTAATTGGAGGTTAATGATCTCTGATACCATTTAAGACGTGGGATTCTATCTTAAAATGTCAACTTTATTAAGATGAGTAACACAATCCTTTATAAGTTGGTCTATATTTTATCTTTATTCGATGTGAGATTTTTATTCCTTAGCATGTGGAACCATCTACATTTAAGCAAGTCATGTCATCATCAGATTGGCAACTTGAAAATGGAGCTCTTCTTAAGAATTCTAATTGGTCATTAGTTTAGAAGTCCTCCAATAAATCAATTATTAGTTGCAAATGGGCATAAAATGTAAAACTCGAACCTTATGGCACAATTGAGAGGTATAAGGTTCATCTTGTTACCAAAGGTTGTGATCAAGTTCATGGCTTGGATTATTTTGTAACTTGGTCTTGTTGTCAAGCAAACTGCAATCAAGATCGTGCTATCCTTAGCCATTGCGAAGGACTAGCATATTCAAGATGTTCACAATGTCTTCTTGAATGGGGATCTTCAAGAAGATGCATTTATGAGTCATCCTCGAGAGTTTATGTACTTTTTTCATTCTAACTTTGTGTGAAAATGGAACAAGGCGATTTATGGACTCGAACAATACCAAACTCAGTAATGCACTTGTTCAGTAGCGACTAGAATTTTGATTTTTGTTTATATAGATAATATTGTTATTGAAGGAAGTAACACATCTCCAATCTCGACAATGATCTCTTCACTAAACTCTAATTTTGCTTTGAAAGATCTTGATCCGTTCATAATTTAATCGTCGATCGAGTTTAACAAATGATGAGTGTGTTAAAAGAGGATGGATCAGATAGTTATTTTAATTTTTTTTTTTTTTGGAGTACTGATAAAAATCTCAAAACTAAAGGGGCATGTTTGTCATAAAATAAAATAAAATAAAAGAGAACAAAAGAAGCCGTTTTGGCAGTGGCATGTCTGTCATAAAATTGAACCAAAAAGAACTGCTCTGCACTTTCTTTAATTTCGAAGACCGATTCCACAGGGGAGTGAAAAATCAGATATATAAATGGCGAGGAGACCGGACGAGGAATACGATTACTTGTTCAAGGCGGTGTTAATCGGTGATTCTGGTGTAGGCAAATCAAATTTGCTCTCCCGATTCACTCGAAATGAATTCTGCTTGGAATCTAAATCTACCATCGGAGTTGAATTTGCCACCCGTACCCTACAGGTTCGCTGATACTATTGCTCCTATTTTTAGTAATCATCAATGTGGAAATGCAAAAATAGTGATTTAGTATCAGTACGTCTCTTGCGAGGCCACGTATCAGTGGATTTGAATTTTACTTAATCTGAATGTTTATATGTTACTTAAATTTGAAACAGGTGTGCAATTTTATCTATATTTCGATTCTTTTATTTGGTTTAGTTTAGGATCTTTAGATCTGTTAATTATGTTTGTTGGCGATGTTGTTTGGAATGGTGATCTGTTGTAGATTTGATGATTTACCTGTTATGCTTGCCTGTATTACTTCTCTTCGAAGTGAAAATGAGATTTTAATAATTATAACTTAAATATGGTTTTATTCTTGCTAACTTTTAAAGCATATTGAAAATTCGTTTTCTAATTCATCAAAAGGAAACTTTATTGTTTTTGCTAAATTAATTATAAATAAAACTCCATATACCAAGTTTTCACACTACATTGACAGAATATTTGCTAGAATTTGATATGCAGAATGGCTGGCTTTTGTAGTCGATAAGTTTTGGTGCCATCTGAAATCTGAACCTTCAAGACAAACGATCTGGGCCCGTTTATTTTCATCAGGACGAAGTAGCTTTTGAGAAAAGGAAATGTAGTAAAAATTCAAGAAACGTAAAGGAGAAAATAAAACAGTTAGCAAAGCTTAACTGCTGAAATATTATTGTACTGCTCTTGATTTACCAGACCATGGTTCCCTTTGTATTATGTCACTCAGTCACTGCCTGTTCCACATAAAGAAAGGATTATCTTTCCATTTGGTTGTCCCTAAATGAGGGATGCGTTTTAAAGTCTATGAGCAATGCAGTGCCTTTTCCCTATCCTATCGTCTGCCCGTCTGTATCTTAATTTAGATAATGTTTTTGGAGATCTCGTACATATTAATAAAATGTAAATGCATAAAAAGGGGACTCGTACATATTTGATAGACGTGTTTTTGCTTTAGCTCCCACCATTTAGTTGAAAAGGAAGCCCAAATTTATTTATTGTGCTGTGCTTGTTCACTTGTTTTTACTCCTTAGGTTGAGGGAAGAACTGTCAAGGCTCAAATATGGGATACAGCTGGCCAAGAGAGGTATAGAGCCATAACAAGCGCATATTACCGGGGTGCTTTGGGAGCTCTTCTTGTATATGATGTGACAAAACCAACTACGTTTGAAAATGTAAGTCGGTGGTTGAAGGAGCTGAGGGACCATGCAGACTCCAACATTGTTATCATGCTTGTAGGAAATAAGACTGATCTCAAGCATCTACGTGCTGTTGCCACAGAGGATGCTCAAGGTTTTGCCGAAAAAGAAGGCCTTTCTTTCATCGAAACATCTGCTCTGGAAGCCATCAATGTAGAGAATGCTTTCCAAATGATTCTTTCAGAAATATATCGGAAAATTAGTAAGAAGCCACTCTCCTCAGATGAGCCTGCACCTACTAACCTCAAAGAAGGGAAGACCCTTGTTGTTGGACCCCAGGAGACCCCCACAAAGAAGACATGCTGCTCCGCGTCCTAATGGACTTGTTTTCTCCCCCATAACTCAGCATCCCATGGTCCCTGATTATCTTGTGATTTCAGTTCCCCTTTTTGCAATCTATTATTTTATATCTCTGTATTTGGATTCTAAATTGTTCTTGATTGTTTGAGGCTTTCTTGAGAATGCGATTAGTTGAGCATCTTATTTTCTATTGATCTCAAATTGATATATATATATATAACACACACTATTATGCGAGTCTTGAGAGATTCTTTTTCATGTTTATTTTCTGTATTGTCTTACCATAACTCCAGGTTTGTCAATTTTAATTTCATTGGAAGCATCGAAAGGACTGTATATCTCGAAAGGAATTGTTCAGCCTAGATGCCAAACCTTTCTATCCTTATTTCCTAGATCGAAAAGCAGAACCTGTAAATTCAGCATGTAGAGTCAAAAGGTTTCTATCCTTTTTGTTTCGTGAGGAATAGTCGTTTTGACTTTTAGTCCTTGAAATTTCAAGGGATTTGTTCTTATTCATGTTTATTTTTCTCCATTGCTTCTTACAATCGTGTGACATTTTAATGTTATAGTTGTCTCATCATTCATCTTAAGCCTAATATTTCATTATTTTGTCATTAAGACAAAAACAAGGTAAAAGAAATTGCAAAGGAAACATTTGTGTGTCATGGATAGTTTCAACAATTTAGGCCGGTAAATAAGGAATCACAGAGCGAGTTGGGTTGAGTTCGGATCCAACCCCGACAACCAAATCGACGGTTTGCGTTGAGTGAAATTCTAATTCAAAATCGAACCAACAAAATGAATAAATTGACTCAAGTTGGCGTGGGTTGGTTCAATTTGTCAGATTCAAGATAATTTTTCCCTTTAAAATAATAATTTAAAAAATAAAATTAACCCAACACCTTATATTGAGGTTTTCCGGTTGGTGTAAGCCAATTCGAAAGTCTAACCAATGTCCCTTCAAATCAACCCAAGTTGGTTCGATTGGATGGTTTGGATCGATTAGACCGGGTAATTTGCACACTATCCCTTGTCAGGTTACGATTCTTACTGGATTTTAAAAATAATTCGAATCGTTGGAATAGTGCGTGGCTCCCTATGCAGCCATCATTACTGGCTCAACATCAAGCAAATTCTCTGAAATACCCATATCTCAAATACAATGAAATAAATGTCAAAAAGATACGAAAGGTAATTTTGCTTGGTTTGGTATAAAAGGCAGAATTTTGCTAAAAATCTGTTGAAAATAACTTTCAGACAAGGGCTAAATTAAAAATATTGGTCAACATAGTACACTAGCACTGTACTACGTATTGACTAATTATTAAAATAATATTAATTAGTAAGGAGTTCTAGAACAATCCATGGAAAATCTTGTTTACCNAGTAAGGAGTTCTAGAACAATCCATTGAAAATCTTGTTTACCTGTGAAGTTAAAAATTCGGCGGAGCGAAACAATTGGACCAATTTGATGGCATTGACAGATTGTACTAAAAAATTAATTTGTTTTTATAAGTGGGTTTTCGCCTTGTAAGTGAATTCTGAAGTAATTTTTTTTTTTTTTGATAAAAATTCTGAAGTAATTTTTAATATATTTTCACTTAGAAGCAACTTTTTTTACACCAAAAATAATTTTTATTTCATAACTGATGTTTTACTTATAATTAAATTTTTTATAATTTAATTATTTATTATCAAATATATTTCTTATCCACATTTTCCTAGAACTCATATCAATTACATATTCTTTACGCATTTCCTAAATTTATAATTACTAGTCAATATTGAATGTGCTTTGCACGTTATTATGATATTTTTTATAAGTGTCGTAAAAATAATATTTGAATATGCGTAAATGTTAATTAATGTAGAATTAATATTATGGAATATATTCGTGATAATGAATATTAAATCATTTATTTAGTTCCTAATTATGTAAAACTGGATGCTAATGAATATATATGATACGTGAACAATGAAATACATTATTGCATATAACATTCTAATTAACTTATAATGAGAATTAATAACGTTGAAATGCATAAATGAAGATGAATATTAATTCAATAAATGTTAATGTTAATTAATTGAAAATTAAAAATAGAAAATTCATACATTAATGAAAATAAAAAGTGAAATAAATGTGTCAAATATACTTTATTTTTAATATAAAGAAAGGAAAAAGAGATGCACGCACAAACAAAATTAATATAAAGAAAGGAAGAGAACGAGAAGGAAGAAAGAAAAATAAATTTACGAGCATTTTCATTAGGCCAAAAAAAAAGTGATTTAAAAAAAAAAAAGGTTGAACCCCAAATTATATAGAATAAGTCCATAAGAATTAATTGTTATACATCGAATTCTCGATGACAAAAATATATTAAGGTCCCGTTTGGGAGAGATTAAAATCCAATTAAAATTGAACATATGGCCGTTATTGGGTCCCACTGGTATAATAAAAGTCAACAATAACGACTATATTTTCAATTTTTATCTGATTTTAATTTCTCCCAAACAAACTCTAAATTATGATGGAGATCAAACCGGAATGGTATAAAATCAAGAACACAAGCACATAGCTAGCTAGGCTCGGAAACCCGAGCCTCCAGCCTCGTTCATACATCCAGCTGTGTACAGCCTGTCTCTTAAGTCCATATTAAATACCCATAATCCCTTTA